AAGAAATAAAAGCCAAATTCGTAAATCAAATTTATCTGTACAAGCCACTTGAAGATATTTAGTTCGAGCTCAATTTGGAGTACAGCCGTTCTGAGGCCAGGCACCTAGCACACTTTGTTTTCTAAAAGTTGCCTCATCCTTTTCAGAGCTAGCATAGGGTTGTGACCGAGGCGTTCACAGACCAACTCCAAGATCTCAAAGAAAGGGGGTTTGCAAGATTTGATCCGGGAAGCGTTCGCCTACAGTGCCCCCCCCCCCCCCCACTGGTCAAACGTCGGATTCACCCCAAACATTTCAAGTTTCTTTAACTTGCGACGTGCGTTCTCGTGGGGCTTAGTACCCTTTTCTCCAATACACCTTATTACCGTAAAATTACATATCAAATAGCCTTACAAGACCACAAGGGGCAGAACCATCCCCATCCCATAAGCACTTAAAATCGAAAGACCGGGATCTCAGACAGCCCCCTGCCGCGCAGCCTCCATGAATATCACGAGGCATGGCAAACAAGGCGGGTAGCGGTGTCAAAGTTGCCCGACGGACCAGAACTGCAGGAAATTTCTCTCAACCTTACGTTCCTTTATCTTTACGGCGATTGGTCCTTCCAGACATCCTCCACGCCATTCGAATCCTTCCGTATGCTGCAAAAAAATGTAACACTACCTACATCTCCTTCATCAGCGTCACACGACCGGACACTGCGCGCCGGCGTGCCAACACGGCTGGCCGCCCCGGCTAGAGCTTTCACGAGGAGACATTTGCGAAGTCGTAAGTACAAACCCCTAGTGTTTGTGAGGTCCAGTCGCTGGAAGGCAACCACTAAGTACGCCGATAGTTGACTCGCGGACAGCCATAAAACCGCTGTGTCATTCTCACGTTTGTTGTCTCGTGGGGACGCCTGTCCAGTCGAGCCCCATCAACTTTCCGTAGAGACACCTCGCTTTCAGAAGCGCCAACTGCACTAAATGTTTCACCTGCTGATGTCTTCTCTAATGTGTCCGGCCACATGCCTTCCGCAGCTCAACATGTCCGCCGCTCGGGCCCTCGGATGCCAACTTAAACACAAACGTCTGAGTGCGTTTGGGCGGGCAGTGTGTTGATGCAATGGCAGCTCCCGTAATGCAAGCGTGCCTGAGCCTTGCCGTGACCACGTGAGGTAACTGGCCATTATGTGGCTGATTACGGTCGTGTTGAATATAATGACGTTAGAGTGGCTGGGTATTGTACACTGCTACCCTGACTGTCTGACTACACTGCTGCTCATTCGAGGTACAGGATCCACACAGCAGGTAAGATCGTTTAAGTTGTTCTGTTGCTATAGACAGGGGCGCAGGCAGGGTGCGGGTGGGGCAAAAGGAAGCACGTGCTCCCCTCAGATTCCGGGGAGCCCTTCGAGACCCTCGGATCGACGGACCAAGGGTCCGATCCGAAGATCCAAATATGAAAAAGACCGTAGGCCCTATTCGTATTCAAAGGTCCCACCAGGGGCCTTTTGCACCGCCTGGGGGCGGGGGAGAAGGCTGGGACAATGCAGACCTCTGCGTCGGCCAAAGACCACCAACGCCGACCAGTCGACTCTGTGTCGGTCTGAATCCAGGGGGCTCATGTATCAAGCGCAAACAAGAAGGACCCCGCGATTTTCATCGTTCGGTAATTCGGGGCCCCTGCAGCAATGATGGGCTCCTGCATCGATCAGGAGCCCACAGTGCCAAACAGGGGATCCTGTACGTCGGTAAGAGGCCACGAGGCGGCCAGGGACGCGGTTGGTGGACAGAGACATTGTCGGGGTTGCGAAACCAGGGGGTCTCTTACGTCGGACTGCGCCCTCTGACAATCAAGTGAGGCATGAGAACGTACGATGAGAACGTAAGACTTCACAATGAGACAACAGAAGGGTGCTGTGTCAGCCAGAGACCCCAGCACCGAAGCGGGCCTCCGTCCCATTTCATTTGGAGCCCGATAAGCCGAATTGGCGGCCCGGTGCCAATTGTTGGATCCAATGCGCCAGTTAGGGACACGTTTATTTAAATGATGGCTCCTGTGTCGATCCAGGTCAACTGCCCCGGTCAGAGAGCCTCCCGCGTCAGAGAGGGGACCGAGAAGTAGTGTATCCCTCTAGGGGCCCCGAATCGAGCAGGGGGTCCGGTCCCGTGTCACCATGGCAGCCATTGGATACATACTTCGGGCTGGGACGAAAAAGCCCTTCTGCCCTTGACCGGAGAAGGCAATGTGCCCACCTGTGTTCTACCCACGGGGCCCTTTGCCCGAGGCAAGGTAAGGAATCTCCTCACTGTTCAGACTCCTAACCGAGTGGATCGACACGAGGTCAGAAACCTGTTTCGATGTGACCAACACATGCTTGGCTCGGGACGTCCTTCCGTCCTCTTTCGTAATCGGCTGGTAAACAATGTTATAGTCGCTTTGAGCATGCGTGTCCGCAGTCGTTAGAAATAAGAACAGCGAGACCCCACGCTACGGTTTCCTTGAAACCGAACGGTGTTGGCAAGTACAGCTTACACTAGGCGGCAGCTGCCGGTCGCGCGAAACCGACCACGTGGCGTGAAATCATGCTCCTGAAAGCCCTTGGAAATCTACTCGTACTGTTCAAATGCAAAAGAGGCAAAAATTTCACCAACACCATTTTGAGATGCATCCTCTGAACGGAACAACATTTCCAAGCGAGACAAACAATGAAGTCAGAGTTCAGAGCAGCCATTACGTAAGAGTTCGCTGAGCAGTAAGTGCTCATCCATTCCCGTTCTCGATCTGAAACCTGTACAAGTGAAATATACGGCACGGATTGCCTTCGACACGGAGGGACTGATTCCATCAGTGGTTCAAAAGTGCTCCTTTCGGATGTGTGGTCGCTTTCGTCCGTTCGTTGGCCACCCCCTCATGTTGCCCATGAGACTGATACCTCGCGGCCTGTGGAAACTGCAACGGCTAACGTCGGTGTTTGTCGTCTAGAGCAGCATTTGGACCCTTTTAATCTGCGCAATCCAATCCAATCCATCGATTCAAATCCATTTTTAGGCCCCATGCGGGGGAGGGGGCAAGAACCTAGTAAGATATTTGGGGAGCCGCGACAAAATTTCACGACACCCCCGGCTGTTACCACTTTGGAAAGTCTCACCCACCATCATACAATGAAAAGGACCCGCGGCTTATTTCATACAGCCATTTCACGCACGGTTCATTATGATGCCAAATGCTGGTAGAATGACATGTTGTAGTAACTAATGGGTCAGTAAGTAGGATACACATTTTCAGTTAAAAAACTATACCAATTAACAGAAAACGAAGCAAATTTGGCTTCCTTGACATCAAATGAGCCAAACAAGCGCTTTTGGGGAGGGAGGAGGAGGGGGATTTTACCGGTAGGAGGCCCTTCATTAGTCCGGTGCCCCCCCCCTCCCTCCCGTTCCCCATCAAGGCTGGAACTGCCGCCCTGGATCAGCGCACGGGTTAACCGCGCTTGGTTTCGTATCGCGTGACCTTTCGGGGCTCCGGAGTTCCCCACCCCGGACTCGCCCAAGGGGGAGAGGTCGCGGCAGGGGGGGGGGGGGACGTTAATGCGACTCCACATTCGACATACCGAAAAGGGAAGGGGAGGAGGCGTGTTTAGGGGTATTTAGGGATGAGATGTAGTCGGCGGTAAACGGGCGTATGCAATGATGGTCTACTACGAGGACATAAGTAGATGGGTAATTTGCGATCAGTGGTAAGCTGTCCTGGAACGCCTTAAGGCAACCGTTGCGGACGAAGGTACGCTTAGAAGAAGTTCGTAAGACAAT